CCCCAGCCCTGCCGGCAGCCCAGCACAGGGTCAGAAGCAGCCGAGTGGGGGCGCTCCAGCCCGCCCACCCCCGTTTAACCAGGTAAACTTAACGTTTAACCAATTACCTAATTCAATGGGATTTTACATCCCTCCCCAGAGCTGGCTGCATTTCCACAGAAGGCAGAGTGATCAGAATCGTTACACAGCCCTGCAGCTACCAGACAGCCGGCAAGGGCTTCTCCTTTTCCCCAAAGCAGAGAGGACGCGCCCTGCCAGCAGCCAGAACCTGAGCAGACCACAAGCCTCAGCACCTCAGACACCAAAGGGACTTGCCTGGGCCCCTCTACCTTGCTGGAGAGCGCGGCGCGGGGATGAAGGAGGAGCAGTGCCTGCTGTGGCAAGCAGAGCTCCCCTCTTCCCCTCTGCCGCACCGTTCTTGTACCCTCGTGCTGGAGGGTCTGGCCAGAGACGGCACCGCGTGTGGCGACGCGCACCTTGGGCCCTGCTGTGTGGAGCGGGACCTGCCAGGGACCCCGCCCTCGGCACCAATCCGGGTCCCGGAGCCACAGCCTGAGGCTCCTGATTGTGGGGAAGGCTCCAGGGAGAGCCAGCGGGACCCGTCCTGGGCTCTGTGGACGCCCGAGGGCCGGGAAGCAGCACGGTACCTTCCTGTCGTATGGCTCCCCCCGCAGCATTTCAGGGGCCATCCAGAAGGCGGAGCCCACCAGGGACAGCTTCCTCTCCGGGTTCTTCACGGGCAGCTCCACCACCTCTCTGGCCAGACCGAAATCCGTCACCAAGGCCTCCCGGCCCCGCTGGCTCACGCGAATGAGGCAGTTCTGAAACGAGTCCCACAGCAGCTGCTCCAGCCCCACGGCGATGCAGGGCTGGTAAGCCCCACCCGCCGAGGGGAGGCATGCCCGTTCCCCTTTCGCACCCCAGCGTGCTCTCCCTCAGGTTCTGCAGGCCTTGGCGCCTGGTCAGAGTAAAGCAGGTTTGGAAAAAGCAAACAAGCACCAGCCTCAGCTGCTGGATCTCGCTAACAAGCGGATTTCACGCCTGCCGCCTCCCCCCATCTCTCCCTAGGCTGGGCTGTCGGCACTGCCGGGAGACAGGAACTCGTACTGGGGCAAACCACGGCAGTGAGCCCCACACACAGGGCCTGGCATTCCGAAACGGGCACTGACTTTCGGAGCAGGATCGGGGTGCTCCGACTGTGCAGCAAGTGCATGCAACATCTGGATACGCTGACAGGACAATGCACGGCAGTGCACTTATCAGCAAGGACAGCCACGTCAGACGCAACCGGCTAGCCACGCCCGTCTCCACTGGGGCTTGTGTTGGGACGGCTGGTGGCTGAGCTGGGCAAGCAGCTGCGGGGCTAACGAAGCCAAGCTAGCACCCTGTATTGATAGTCCTCAGGCGCGTAACGCCGGCTGGCTTGTGCGCAGCCAATCGCCATCACTGCGCCAAGGTTCCCTGGAGGCTCAGGGAACATCAGTGGAGGAGCCATGACACAGAACCAGCCAACCGGTCGCTCTGTGTCCAGCTTCATTGGCAAAGGATCACGGAAGCTGCTTCAGGAAAAGCTCCACGCACTGGAGCCAGACCCCGGTTCAGACTCGGCTGGTGTACAACAGTGTCACTCCTGACTGTAACTCAGCGGGGCCGTGGGCTGACAGGCACTCAGCCATGTGTCTGGGACAACGAATGCAGCTGAGTGGCTGATGGATCCGGACTGAGACACCCTCCCTGAGATCCGCCTTTATCCCCTTATACAAACCAGCTCGCGCTGCCCCCTCACGTCGCTCCTTACTGCCCCCGACGTCAGCGGCCACATGAGCACATTTTATTACGCTGTCGTCCCACCCCTTATTTCCTAGGAGGGGTCAGTGAGCCCGATACCCGGGGGCAACGCTTCTGTACCAGCCAGGGTAGCGAGACGCCCTGCTACTACTGACTGCTGGGAAGCGGGCAGGCCCGTATTCCGTGACTAGCGCTTCTTAGAAATGGGCATTTCTTGCCAAATTCTGTGAGCAGGTCCTGCCTCAGAGCAGGCCTCTCCTCCTCCTCCAGCCTGACACCCCCCAAGGACACACCCCACACACTGGGGACCTCTGCTCTACTAAGCCGGGGGTGGGGAACCTAAGGCCTGGGGGCCGGATATGGCTGCAGGCTTGCCTGGATCAGGCCCCAGAGGTTCGGGGCTCCCCCTTGCATTGGGGAGCCTGCGCTCGTACTCCAGTCCCCCCATGCTGTCCCCCCATGGGGCCTGGGGCACACAAGATGGACTAGCCTGCCCTCCCCATGGCGCTGGTGTACGAGGGGAACGTGCTTCTCTGTACTGATTTTTCTGTGGGTCAGCGCCACCCCACCCCCGCTAAAACAGCCTGCTCCATTAACCAAGCTGTAGCAGGGTCTTCAACCTCCACCTTGCCAGTCCCTGGGGGGCACAGAGCCTCGTGCCATGCAAGCACCGGTCTGCCATACAAACCCAGAGCTCGGGGGCCAGATAACTCACTGCCTCCTGGCCCCCCCGCCGGCTCACGTCTGCTTTCCCTTATGGTGCTCGTGGTTCGAGACAGCCCCCGGGGCAGGGGGCACCTCGCAGCCGCGGTGGGAGAAGAAATGTGGCGTCCCGGCTCTGGCTTTTCCCACCGCCCCCGCGATAGAAGAAGTCCGGCCTTAGCTCTTCCCGCGCCGCCTGCATGGTAGGGAACTAACGTGCCATCGCGACAGTCAAGGCAGGGTCGCAGCTCACCCTTGTGTAGAGAACAGCACACGGCCAAGGCACCGGTGAGTCCCACTGGAGCCCAGAGGCCCTGTGGGTGAGTGGTCGGCGGGCCCAGTGGCCTCCGTCCCCCCAGAGCGCAGCCTACCTTGGAGTTGAGATCCCGGTGGTAGATGTTCTTGGAGTGCAAGTAGATCATCCCCCTGGAGATGTCTGAAGCCAGCTCCACCTTCTCCTTCCAACTGAGGCTGATGTCCTTGCTGGCTAGAAGCTCTTCCAGGCACCCACCGTTAACATACTGGGAAAAAGAGAGAGCCAAGAGGGAGGCCATGCAGGCCGCGCTCTGCTGGAACGGAGGCTCTGCAAAGCCGCCACGCCATTCCCAGACAGAGGGGAACCCCTCTTGCCATGCCTTGCCCGTGAAGCCGGCAAGCAGCATTTCTTGTAAGTGGGGCGCCTGTGCGGCCGCTCAGGAGAAATGCCAATGCCGCCCAGCTGATTAGCACAGCACCCACAGCTCGTTTTTTTGTGTCTGCTGGTGGTGCACATTCTCACATGCCTTGGTGCACAGAAAAAAATATTCCGCACATGGCTGGAAAAAATCTGCACATGGCTGAAAAATGTTGGAGGGAACATTGCTGGTGAGTAATGCAGCAGCACCTTGCGGCCCAAAGCTGCATCAGGGGTGCCATGTCCGGGTGCTGTACAGACACTCCCATGACAAGCGAATAATTGACTGTGGCTCTCTCACAGCAGGACTCCCCCCTACCAGAACTAAAGACCAGCTCAAAGGCCATAGGAGACTCATGAACATCTGGACCTGGTCCAGCCACAAGAAAGGGGCAGGGAGCCATGGTCTGGGCCATGCGTGCTTTACACAGATCCCCCTACAGCCCTGGCTGCCCCGCAACAAGCCTTTACCTCCAGAATTGGGTACAGCTTCTCATCCCTCACGCAGATGCCCAGGTACCTACAAGGCAGGACAAAAACTCAGCTTTAGGCTTCTTCTTCTAGCACAAAAATACTTGAAAGATGCAGCCAACGATTCAAACTGCAGCTCTGGACTCAAACCCAGACCTGGCCCATCTCTACCGGGGCCCTCTTCGCTGGCCACTGCCCTCCTGGGGCGCCACGCACCTGACAATGTTGGGGTGGGACAGCTTCTGCAGCAGGCTAATCTCACGGACTATCACCTCCTGGTCCACGTCGTTCTTGTAGATTTTCACCACCATCACCTTGCAGGTGCCAGTCTGCGTCACCTGGAGCAACATGACGAACGACACAGGGAGAGGCGTTTCGTGGACGCTGGCCCCCAGGAGGAAAGGAGATTCTCCCCACGATTCCCCCAACCCAAACACACAAGGCCTGGCGTCCCAGCACCTGGCACCCCGCACAGCTAACATGCTACCACAGATTCACTCCCACTTTGCACCGGTGAAATTACTGCCCAAGATGCAGGGCGCCCAAGTGTCAGGCCCACGCTCCGGAGTGCCCAGATCTAGCAGACCCAAGTGGCACTACTCTAAGTTAAGCCCATGCTCACCAGCTTAGCTTGACCAGGGCTGAGGTCACAGTGAATCACCGAGTTACTGTAGGAAGCATGGAATCGGGGCTGGCCTCTCCCTGTCCCCTCAGGCATGCCTGTTCGCACGTGGTTCACATCAAGGTTACTCTGCCGTGCACCGCTCTGCATCCAGTCAGTACAGAGCTGGAGGAAGTGGCTTCCAGTTGCCCTTCCTCAAAATCAGACACAAAACCAGAACACGAACGTCCCGTAACAGCCCAAGGCATTTCAGCAAGGACCTCGACTGCTCCAGACAGGGCTTGACGGCGATGTGCCCAAAGAGCGCCCTGAGGCTGCTGGATCTTGTGGGCCTCTGCCACGCTGCAGGTCCCAGACTGATCAGAGGCTGGGCCATCCAGTGTCACTACAAGGATCTGCCTGAAGGCTGGGCCGGACCCCCTGTGAGGAGCTGGGGGGGAATTTCTTGACAAACCTGAGACCGCTCACTCCACAAGGCTGGGGCCTTCTCAATTCCCAACTCGAAAAACATGGCAGGAAAAAAGTTTCAAAACTGTCCCAGTATTCTTTTCTATCTTTTTAAAACAAAAGACCCAGGGGTTCTGGTTTGTGATGACTTTTCCTTTCAAAATCTAAGCTCATTTTGATTTTTTTACAAAGGTTTAAAAAAGAAAAAAGCTCAAAATTACAACAAAAAAATTCAAAATGGTTGAAATAAAGTGTTTCAGGAGATCCAGCACAAACACACAAAACCAACCAACCGACCACACAACATCCCCCCACACCTAGTTTTCCAGTTTGCAAATATTTTCAAGCTTGGGCCCTTTCATCAGGATTCAAGAGAAGAAAAATGGGTCCTCTCAGAAATATAGAAATACATGCAGGGTGGGAAACCTGGTGTGGCGGGATGTCGTGGTTCCCCGCCTCCCACACCCCCGTAGTGGCACGAACAGACTCCCCCAGCCAGTAGAATAGAGGGAGTTAATTGCTTCTCCAGGATACAGCACAGCACAGATGGAATCTGGTTACAGGAACTGGGGCTAGGAGGCCTCAGTGCCCCCCCTTGAGATGAGGGGTGGCTGGGCCCTACAATCCCAGCCCCCTCCCCAGCTCCTTCTCCCCTGCTTCCCCGACAGAAACTACAACTCTTCCAGCCCTACCCCCCAGCCAGGGGCGGCATCCACCTTCCTTTGTTTCTCTCCCTGGGGGGTAGCTGGTCGGACGGGTTGAGAGACCCTGGCCTAGTGACTCATCCCCTGCCCTGCTGGGCCGTGCTACAGACAGCAGCCAGTGGGGGGTCACCCACAGCCTCAGCCTAGCAACCAGCAAGGTACCCCCACCACGTCACACCTAGGTCTTGCCCACTTAAGTGCTGGCCACCTGACCCTCTCCTGGTTTATTCTGAAGCAAGGTGATTGTCAGCTGGCACGGCCTTGCTCACTCTCGTGACATGGCGGCTGGTGCTGTCGGGGTGAACCCAGACACGCTGTTTAACTTTCCTCCCTTTTGGTCATATGTTCAAAGGACAGATGCGTTGAAGCATGGAACGAGCTGGCACCACAGCACCATTCAATGCCCCCAGGCGTCACGGCTGATACGTCGACCTGCCCGAGCTGCCTTGCAGATAAGGTTACCGCCCCACCCGGCAGGTGGACTGAACAAAGAGACTCGCGTCAATCCAGCTCAGAGCGGGAGAGGCATGCTAATTGTAACAAGAGCAATGTTAACTCTGAGCCGGCTCCCTCCCGAGAATAATGCAATCAAATACCAATGCCCATGAGAGGAAAAGCTCTGCCCCAGAGTTTCAATGGGCTGCAAAGAAGTTTTGAATCAGGCATTACCCAGCCGTGGGATTTACTAATCCATATCCACACTTTACAATGTGCATAATTATTGTACACACCGTCGTGACAGAAGCACTGTAAGAACCCTGGAGCATGGGGGTTCTGGCTGCCAACACTTCCATATCACTACTTGAGGCTTAGATGGGTTTCTGCTAGAGGACCCTGTGAAGCTAGGCACTGCAGGAAGTACCGCCCAGCAGGGCCCGAGTGGCAGCCTTTCACAGCCCACTGATTGGCTCGTGGTGGTATAAAATCAGTAGGCATCACAGCTGGCTATCTGATCAATGATGCACACCGTCTCTTGCTTCCACGCCAGATCTGGCTTGCTGCAGACCCTAGAGCAGGGTGGGCAATAGTTTTTGATGGGGGGGCCACTCCAAAATATGGGGAAGTGGTCAAGGGTCTGCACATTTCTAGGGAGTGGGTGTGGGGGCCTGGAATGAGGCTGGGTGCAGAAGGGAGCTCGGGGTAGGGTACAGGCGAGAGGGTCTGAGAGGAAGTTTGGATGCAGAGGGGGGGGGTGACCTGGGGCAGGGAATTGAGGTGAAGGGTCTGGAAGGGGGTATGGGTGCAGGAGAGGATTCTGGCCTGTGGAAGGAATGTAGGAAGGGGTGCAGGATCTGCACTGCTCCGCCCCCAGTACAATCTCTCAGCTCCCATTGGCTGCTTTCCAGCCAATAGGAGCTGAGACATTGTGCAGGGAGTGTGGCCAGTGCGAAGCCTCCCATGGAGAGAGGAATTGCTCGGTGCTGCAGGGCAGGCCGGATTACAAGGCTTGGCGGGATGCATTTGGCCCGTGGGGCGTATCCCGCCCACCCCAGCGCTGCGCCCTCCAAGGGGTTAGGTCAGTAAATCGATACCCAAAGGGTCTTTGTCCTTCTTCATACAGCCCAGTAACCCAGACAGGACTCGTGCCTGGCTCTCTGGCGTGCTGGCACGCGGCCACCTACACATCACCACCTTCACTGCTTTTCCCCTTTACAACTCCCATTGTACTGAGTTCATCTACACCGAGATGGGGAGAGCTGCCCAGTCGGGCTTCGGCCCTGTCTGCCCACCTGCCTCACTCGCCTTGATGCGCAATGTCAGTTGGTGCAGAACACTCCTCCTGTGGGGTTAATATAATGATCCGAGCGACCAGCGCATCACTGGCTTTCACTCCACCTGTGCACCCCCGTTCCTGGATAAGCGCCACGAGAAGAGTGCTGGGTGCGAGGAGTTTGTCAGGGCTGGCTGGAGGTGCCGACAGGACGGTGAACTCTTTGTCGGCTGGCACTGAGGGCATCAGACTCAGGAGCTGCGACTTCTAGAAAGCTTCACAAAGTGCCATTCTCCACTTCTGAGCAGGCTGGTTCGCTCGTCCCACTGCTGAGGAGCTAGGCCCCGTTATTCAAAACCGACAAGGGTGCCAAGTCTCTTCCATGCTGTGCAGCACGTCTGGAGACGAGCCCCAGCAAGCTTGGCCGGGGTTCCGGGCCCCCTCCGCCGTGCCCACCTGCCCCAAACAGGAGTCAGGGAGGTCGAGCTCCTGAAGTCCTCTGGACGTACAGCGCTCACTTCCCTCGGAGGCAGAGAGCAGCTTCTCAGCACGGCTGGCACAGGGTGAGTCACCAGGGATCCGGTTGCTCGCTAATACCACCCTTGATTAGCTAGAAAGCTTCTGCTGTCAGCACGGCAGCGCAGAGCTCAATAAGCTGGGACCATTTCCACCACCATTCCCTTGAATCCCTCTGCTCTCCCTGCCCCTCCTCCAAAGCTGGCTCAGGGCTGGCACCGTAACCAAGGGAAAGGAGAGGTTTCCTGGCACTGTCCACCTCTCCCCGGTCACAGCTGGCTCTTTACTCAGCTGCTTCCTTGCTCAGTAACCAGACTGCCCTTTCCCTTCCCTTCGGTCGGCTCGGCCTGTCCCACGCCTTGGGCGAGTATGCTCAAGGGCAGGAGCTGTCCAGTGGGCTGGCACGGTTAAGTTGGGTTGGTCCTGCTTGGGGCAGGGGGCTGCACTCGATGCCCCGAGGTCTCTGCGAGTCTCTGAAAGACGGCGGGCTGCTCTTAGCATGAGCCCAGACCTGCTTTTGACGGAGACCTTCCCTACATGGGAATCAGGTCCCCAAGACTGAAAGGGCCGGTACATCGGTAACCCTTTGCCTTGCTATGGGCCAGATCCCCAGACACGGGGCGTCGCTCTAACCAGCTTCCATGGACCCCCCTGCAGGAGAATCTGCACCGGCCGTTCTGTGCCATCTGCTCCCCACCGCCTGGCAGGGACATTCTGAGGCCATGGCTGGAGTACACAGCGCTCCCCGAAACTCTGCCAGCAGAGCAGCCCCCAGCCAGCACCGCTCACAGCAGCCCTCTGACTCACAGCTTATGTGGGGTCCAGTCCTGCCCTGCGTCAGCCTAAGGATCAGAGGGGCGGAAAGGGATCCCCAGGGCTTCCCCGCCACCGGCCATGAGCTGAGAAGGGATTCAGGGGGGTGTGTGGGGCCTAAGTCAGGGGACCGAGAGAGGAAGTTTCAACTCTGCCCATCAGACAGGGAGTTGTGAGGGTTCATTCATCTGAGGCCCTTGGATCAAAGGAGCTATAGAAGTTCAAAGTCTTATCACCAGTTGTACGTAAAACCCAGACCGGCAAAAATCCATCCAGGGCTTTGTCTCGAGCTGGCATCACGATGGACTTTTACACACTAGGCAGCTCTCCTGAACCCCGGCCCGGCCACACCGAGTCACAATGCCGGAACAACGCCTGTCACGAATGGTGAAACTGAGGCACACAGCAGGAAAGGGAACAAGACAAGGATACTGCCAGGCAGGGAACCCAGATCTCTTCAGTCTGCCTCGTGCTGAAACCCAAATCAAGCCTTCCTCTGAGTCACCTTGCTCACACAGCCACCTGCTCGTGTGCACGAATGAGAGAGAAATGAGAGCCACTGGATGGGGGCATGGAGGCGGTGGGCGATGTGTCAGTGCCTGCATGAGAGAAACGGCTGCACTGGTGCGCGTACAGCTCTCCGGAGGCCAGTAACTACTGGCAAAGAATCTCAAAGTGTCATCTCCAATGGAGCCGCAAACATGCCTCAGTTACAGGATACAGGGTCCAAGGAGACTGCCAGGCCTCCAGGGAGGACAGGGAACTGGGAATGCAAATGAATCTGCAGCTAAGACACCACAAAGCTCCAGGCTCCAACCAAATGTCAGGTCCCCGTGTAGGACAATAGCCCAGCCCCGTCCTTCTCGGCATT